CGCAGGGTATACCCCCACCCACACAGGTATGCAGGGTATACCCCCACCCATACAGGGACACATGGTATACCCCCACCCACACAGGTACGCAGGGTATATTCCCACCCACACAGGGACACAGGGTATACCCCCAAACACACAGGTACGCAGGGAAATACCTACAGTCAGACAAGAACATACATAGTTTCCGTGTTTAGAGTGAAGACTGGAGAATAAATAAAATCTTTTATTTACATAGCACCTTTCCTGAGCACCAGCTTTGGAGCCAGTTGCTGTATTATGTTTAAGCAGTCACTGTTGTAATGTCAGGATTGCAGCAGGTCCCACAAGCGCCGAGTTGATTGTAAATTTGGTGTGGAATGTCACTGAGACACATAGTTCAGGAAGTCAGTAGAGTAACTGCCTGGCTCCTCTGGCTGTGGAGGGCACCGATACCTGAAGATCTGCTCCACCCATAGGTCAGCCACAGAATTCCCTTCACCTGAAGGTAGATTGGGGGCCTCCTGTGGTGAACTGGGAGTGTCCCTAACTCTGATCCAGGAGGCCTGGGTTCGAGTCTGACCTGCTCCAGAGGTGTGTAATAACATTCCTGAGCAGGATGATTTGGAAAATATCTCACTGAAAGTTGTGGGTCCAGACACCTGGGTTCAGAAATGCAGCCTGACACAGCATGTACTGGAGGAGTGATGGGTATTTGAATTGTGTGCAGGTAGTAGATGTTAACATGTGTGCCCTACTCAATAAAAACAGACTGGAACTGGTTGTGTGGGATTCTTGGTGCATGTTCAGAACGTATATTTCTGTAAGTAAAAGCTTATGAAGGTAACAAAAACAGAAGTTGCTGGAAAAGCTCAGCAGGTCTGACAGCATCTGTGAAGGAAGAAACAGAGTTAACGTTTCGGGCCTGGAACTCAGTTCGGAGGAAGGGTCACCAGAGCAGAAACGTTAACTCTGTTTTTCTCCCTTCACAGATGCTGCCAGACCTGCTGAGCTTTTCCAGCAACTTCTGTTTTTGTTCCTGATTCACAGCGTCCGCAGTTCTTTCAGGTTTTTAGCTTATGAAGGTAAAACAGAGATGGATTCGGTTCTCCTTGCCTGGCTTTCTGTAATTAATTCCCTCTTTTTGGAATGAGAAGTTAAACTTTGGCCCTGTCGACCATCTGAATCAATGTCAGTGATCTCATGGCTGCTACCTCGGAGAAGAGCAAGGAAATTGACGTCAGCACAAACAGCAATAGGCCCACTTGGCCTTTTGGGTCGGGTCCACTATTCAATAAGATCAGGGGCTGATACGATTTTAACCTCACTCTACATCCCTGCGTATCTCTGATAATCAGAGAGTCACATGGATCTACCACACAGTAACAGGCCCTTCGGCCCATTAAGTCTGTACCAGTCAACAACAACCACCTAACTATTGTAATCCCACTTCCCAGCACTTGGCCCATAGCCATACAAGTTTATTTGAAATCACAAGCCTTTGGAGGTGACGAAGGAGCAGCGCTCCAGAAGCTTGTGATTTCAAATAAACTATAACCTGGTGTCGTGTGATTTCTGACTTTGTCCCCCCCAAGTCCAACACCAGCACCTCCACATCATGGCCCATAGCCTTGGCATCCCAAATGCACATCTAAATCCTACTTCAATGTGCTGAGGACTTCTGCCTCTCCCACCCTCACACGCAGTGAGTTCCAGATTCCTGCCACCATCTGAGTGGAAAACATTTACCTCGCATCCCTTCTATAACCTCCTGCCCCTTATCTTCAATCTATCCCCCTTCCTGGTGACTGAACCCTCTGTCAAGGGAAAAGTTTCGACCTTTCGTCCCCTTGGTCGTCAAGAATCTGTCTGCTTTGAAAATATATAAAGATTTTGCATCTACTGCATTTTGAGGAAGGGATTCCAAAGATTCTCAACCCTCAGAGAGAAAACATTCCTCATCTCTGTTTTAGAAGGTGCCCCTCCCCTCCTTATGTTTAAATTTTGACCCCTAGTTCTAGATTCTCCCATAAGAAGAAACATCCTTTCCCACATCAACCTGATTACACCCCCTCAGGATCTGATATGGTTCAATTAAGTAACCTCTGATTCTTCTCAACTCCAAGCATGAAGGTAAAGTCACTATAGTCTTAGAATCCCTACAGTGTGGAAACAGGCCCTTTGGCCCAACAAGTCCACACTGACCCTCAGGGCATCCCCACCCAGACCCATCCCCCTATAAACCCACCTAATCTACACCTCCCTGAACACTACGGGCAATTTAGCATGGCCAATCCACCCTAACCTGCACATCTTTGGACTGTGGGAGGAAACCGGAGCACCCAGAGGAAACCCACGCAGACACGGGGAGAATGTGCAAACTCTACACAGACAGTTGCCTGAGGGTGGAATCAAACCTGGGTCCCTGGCACTGTGAGGCAGCAGTGCTCACCACTGAGCCACCATGCCACCCATAGACCACAGGGCTGCTCTCCTATTAGAGAGAGCTGACTGGCGATGGTTTAACCTGGGGGTCACCACACCCTGTGAGAGGGAAGAGGTTGAGAAGGAGAGTCCCTCATGGTAACCTCAGCTGGTATAGAAATCGAACCCATGCTGATGGCGTCACTCTGCATTAGTAGCCAGCTGTCCAGCCAACTGAGCTAAACCCCTGTCCAAAGGTGCTGGCTGAACCTGTTAAGCCTTTACCCATGAGGCAACCTTGATGAGCTGGCCTCGATCTTTATCTCTCAAATAAGGTTAATGAAGGAGATTATGTGGTCACTGTTTCATAGATGTTTGTGGGATCTGCCTGTGCACAAAATGGCTGTGGTGTTCCCTGCATTTGAACAGGGGCTGCGTCTCAAACAACAACTTTGATGGCCCGGCGGCTCAGTGGTTAGCACTGCTGCCTCACAGGGTCCCGGGTTCGATTCCAGCCTCGGGCAACTGTCTGTGTGGAGTTTGCACATTCTCCCCGTGTCTGTGTGGGTTTCCTCCGGGTGCTCCGGTTTCCTCCCACAGTCCAAAGGTGTGGATTGGCTATGCTAAATTGCCCATAGTGCTCAGGGATGTGCAGGCTGGGTGGGTTAGCCATGGGAAATGCAGGGTTACAGGGATAGGGTGGGATGCTCTTCAGAGGGTCAGTGTGGACTTGATGAGCCGAATGGCCTGCTTGCACAGCGTAGGCGTTCTATGATTTTTTAACCGGCTGCGAAGTGCCTCGGGAGGTTGCGTGAGGGGAGTCCGAGCTCTGTTTGTTTCACTGGGTCTTTCTCGTGGTTTGTTTCCAGGAGAGAAACCTCACAAGTGCCAGGTGTGTGGGAAGTCATTCAGCCAGAGTTCCAACCTGATCACCCACAGCCGCAAGCATTCGGGCTTCAAACCTTTCGGCTGCGAGCTCTGCGCCAAAGGCTTTCAGCGGAAAGTGGACCTCCGGCGTCACCGGGAGACCCAGCACGGTCTGAAGGCATAGGAACGGTCAGCGATCCCGCACCTGTCAGGGTGGCACTGTAGAGCCAGCTGGCAGCACCCCTTACCCTGCGTGTTCTCACACCTAATACACATGGCTGTGGGGGAGAATGACACTCGGGGTCTTATTTCAGGGCAGAGTGGCAAGGCAGAGCTGGAAGTGGGGGGAGACCATGGTGTTGTGGTCGTGTCAGTGATCCCTGACCAACATCCAGACCTGGGTTCAAATCCCACCACCCCCACCACAGCTGGTGGAATTTAAACTCAACTGATGATCACCTCTGTAACAGCATCAATTGTTGTGGAAGCCCTGTCACTGATTCACTAAAGCCCTTTACCGGGGGGCGAAATCTGCCATCCTTACCCAGCCTGGCCTACACGTGACTCCAGACCCACAGCAACAGGGCTCACCCCTAATGGCCCTTTGAAATGTTCTGCAGAGCCACTCTGTTCAAGGGCAGTTAGGGGGAGGGTCACGAATACTGGAACATCTGATCCCTCTGTGCTGCCGCCTGTCCTCACCTTTTCTGTCATTACTTCGGGGATGGCCTGTGTGACTTCGGTTAACGTTACTGCAATCAGAAATCCCCCATACCACCCGCAACAGAGCGGTCACTTTATCACAGATTGACTCTCATCACTCTCAGGCCACCACCTTCCTCTCTAACCTCACAATCTCCATCAGTGCCTAAAACCCCTCAACATCTCTGCAATTCTCTACTCTCTGACCTCTTGTGTATTGCACAGTTCCTTTGCTCTCTCAGCAGTGTTGACCCTAAGCTTTGCAATCCTCTCCCTAAACCTCTCCACCCATCTCTCTCCACTTTTAAGACACTCCTAAAAATCTACCTCTTTGACCATGGACTAAGTTTGTGGTAAGCTGTACTAATAGCGTCTTCTTTTTAATTTGCTCAGTGTGAAAGTTTCTCTGGTTCCACACCTGTTGGAAACACCATGGGATATTTTATTATCTTCAAGATGGGCTGCTCAGTGGTGAGCACTGCTGCCTCACAGCACCAGGGACCCAGGTTCAATCCCACCCTCGGGCAACTGTCTGTGTGGAGTTTGCACATTCTCCCTGTGTCTGCGTGGGTTCCCTCCGGGTGCTCCGGTTTCCTCCCACAGTCCAAAGATGTGCAGGTTACGATGGATTGGCCATGCTAAATTGCCCGTAGTGTTCAGGGATGTGTAGATTGGGGGATGCTCTGTGGACTTGTTGGGCCAAAGGGCCTGTTTCCACGCTGTAGGGATTCTATGGTCTAAATGCAAGTTGTTGTTGCTGATTAACTTAAGTCAAACCGATCCAGAAGGTACTGAATTCTGAAGCAGTCATTCTGGACTTGAAACTTTAACTGTTTCTCTCTCTCCAGATGCTGCCAGACTTGCTGAGCCTTTCCAGTACTTTCTGACTTTGTTTCCAATCTTCAACATCTGCAGTTATAGAGTCATACAGCTCTTTGTTTTAATTTATTAAGAATGTTCCTGGGTTAGGCACTCAGTGAATGATGGTGTGGAAGGGTCAGGGGGCATGGGGTGGCCTCAGTGCCGCTGGGCGTGTGGAGGGGGTGGGGACATGGTATGAATTGGGGGTTTGTGCTCTCAGACGCCGTTCCATGGCCTGTGCAGCCTGAACATCGATGGAGGGTTGAGGAAAGGAACAGAATGGTTTCAGAGAAGATAACTAACTTTGCGTTGGAAACCTTTCTTTAATTCCAGTGTTTCCTTTTATGTACATGAGCACAATATTAGACAAAAGAAAACATAGAATCTAGAGCAGGAGGAGGCCATTCGGCCCCTCGAGCCTGCTTTGCTATTCAATTGGACCATGGCTGATCATCCAACTCTTTATAGCCTGTTTCTGCTTACCCCCAGATCCATACTCAGTGACCCCCCCCGCCCCCAACTTCCACAACCTTTTGTTGGGTAAGAATTTCACAGATTCACCAGCATCTGAGTGAAGAGATTCCTCATGTCACTCCTCAGTGGTCTACCCTATATCCCCCTGAGACGGTGTCCCTGGTCCCTGAGGTGCTGGAGAGGAGTCACTGGACTCGAAACATAAATGCTGTTTCCTCTTCATGGATGCTGCCAGACCTGCTGAGTTTCTCCAACATATTTGTAATTTTGTTTGTCCCTGGTTCTTGACTCCCCGACCAGCGTAAACATCCTCCCTGCACCTCATGTGGCCAATTCCTGGTAAACTTCTTTATTTTGCAATCAGACTGTACAGGACAGAAACAGGCCATTTGCTCCAAATGGGCATGCTAGGCTTGGGTGTTTATGTCACATCTAAGCCTGCTAGCTCTCCTTTATCTCACCCTAACATACCCCCTTCGATACATTCCACTCTCCCTGATGTAGTTATTCAGCCTCTCCCCATACAGTATTCACTTCACCCACTCCTTGTGGAGGGGGGTTGGGGGGGACATCCACATTCTTGTCACTCTCAGCATGAAGAGGTTTCTGCAGAATTCCTAACTGGATTTATTAGTGACTGTCTGATACTTGTGACTCCTAGTTTTAATCTCTGCCATTAGTGGAAATGTTCTTTCTCTCTCTCTCTCTCTCCATCTAACCTGTCAAAGTCTTAGTGAAAACCTCTATTACGTTGCCCCTCAGGTTTCTTTTCTCTTCAGAAGGCAACTCCAACTTGTTTATATTTTCCTGACGGTGATAAACCTCGCAGGCTGGTGTCATCCTCAAAAATTCTCTTCTGTTGCTACAGGATTTCTATTCGAAGAGTAGTTTGTTACTTTCCTGGGTTAAAGCATTCTGCGCCCAGTCATTTGGACTGTTCCAGTGTAACTCCTCGTGGGGAATGAAGACCTATCTTACTCCAGCACTGGGGAGGGGTGGAATTAGCAAAGGGTGCAGCTTGGAAGGAGGCCATTCACCCCATTGTACCTGTGCTAGCTCTTGTCAATATTCCAGCAATTTGAAAGTTGCTATGTTTTCACAGCGTCATGTGTTGCTGTGTCATTAGAGAAAGCAATGACCAGAGGTGAATTTAACCTGAGGGTGCCTATGCCTTGAGTTGGTGGAGGGGTAGGGTTGAGAAAGCAGGTCCTTCAGGATGACCTTAGTCACTCCAGAAATCGAACCCATGCTGTTGGGGGTTACCCTGCATTGCAAACCAGCTGTCCAGCCAACTGAGCTAACCCTTACCCCTAACTATTTCTCCAATTCCCTTTGGAAAGTCACTATTGAATCTGCTTTCAGGCAAAACACACTCTGGGTCACAACATCCTGCTCCCCCTCTTTTTAAGCTGATTGGTTTAAATCTGAAAATCACAACAGGTCAGGCAGCATCCATGGAGAGAGAGCAAGCTAACGTTTCAAATCTAGATGACTCTTCATCAAAGCTGGTAATCAGAGCTCCGATGAAGAGTCATCTAGACGTTAGTGAAACGTTAGCTTGCTTTCTCTCCACAGATGCTGCCTGACCTGCTGTGACCTCCAGCACTTTTTGTTTTCAGTACAGATTCCAGCATCTGCAGTCACTTGCTCCTGTATTGTATTTTAATTCTGTGTCCTACGGTTTCCTACCCTCCCAGATCCCTTGGGGATGGTGGACTGGACCTTACTGATGTTGCAGCATGGAATCCTCTCCCCAGCTCCACCAACTTGCCATCTAATCCCAAGACTCCTGGGCCCAGGGGACTCCCAGAGATACCAAGATGAGTTGGAGGCCCATTCCCTGATGGCAGTGCGGGTGCACTGTGACTCTTTGGGAGAGGTCCTGAAGGGGACGCCCAGTGAAGGCACCTCTTTATTTCTCCCGCCACTCTGTTAAACATTCTCAGCAGTGAGCAGGCAGCTGCTGGTCTCTGAGACTGTGACTCTCCCTGGACGCTGGCAAATGAATGGAGCCAACCCTGTATTACTGGGCAGGGTAAGCCTAACCGTGCCAGGATGCTGCTGAGGGTCTGACCTGTGAAACTGCTCCCCCTCCAATCCCTGTCCTCCACCCCACCTCCCCGTCCCCCTCCCCACCAATTCCCAGGTGAGAGAAATGCCAAAAGTTTATTCAAGATGGTGACAGAGCGGGAGGAAAGGATGCACTCAGCGCTGTAGGAAGGAAACTGACCGTGCCCCAGGACACAGTCATGGTGTGACACTGATGACACTAAATCTCCAGGATTACAAGAGCATCTCCAGAAGTTGGCTTAGACTAGGTTCCAGGGCACTGTCGAGAGACCCAAACCCGGGCAAAACTCAGCTCAGGGGCTGTCAAGGAAATTGTATTTTTTTTCAGAAAATTCTTTTTGAATACTTTTCCTTGTCATATCAGACCTGGTAAGTCAAGCCCTCTTGGTCAACAGTCAAGATTCCTGGAGTCCCTACAGTGCAGAAAGAGGCCGTGCAGCCCATCAAAATCTGCACCGACCCTCGGAAGAGAATCCTGTCCAATCCACCCCATTCCCCATAACACCACATGGCTAACCTACCTAAACTGCACATCCCAAAACACTACAGGCCAATTGAACATGGGCAATCCACCTAGCCTGCACGTCTCTGGACTGTGGGAGAAAACCGGAGCACCCGGAGGAAATCCACGGAGACACGGGGAGAGTGCGCAAACTCCACGTAGACAGTTGCCCGAGGGAGGAATCGAACCTGACCCACCAGGCTGCTCTGATATTCAGAACAATCGTCCAATGGACAGCTGAGAATTCCATTCCCGTTCTGACTGGCTGTGGGTGCTGTGAAAATGGACAGGCAAGCAACCGATAGTGAACGTGTTGGGTGGAGGGAAAATTGGAGACGAAGAAACCGCCAGGACAATGTCCAATGACAGTTGACTGGGAAGAGGGTGGGAAAGCGGATGTGAGGAATTTCGGATCAGCCATGTTCCTGTTGAATGGTGGAGCAGGTTCGAGGGGCCAAACAGCCTCCTTCTGTTCTTATTCCTTACGGTCTTGTTCCTATGCTGAAGCTTCCTTAATGGTTGTTTTGCCTCTTTCTGTTTCTGATGCCGGATGAAATTTATCGAGAATAAATTCTTGCTGAATCAACAGGTTTTCAGTCAAATTCTTTACCTCAGCATTACTCCGATAATGTTGATTTTTCTGACCAGTCCCTTGGGGTTCTGCGGTGTAACCTCCTGACCTATAAACTGAAAGTTGGTACCATCTTTGCCAGAGTGGAATCGCTGTACTGTACCTTACTGGGAGAACGGGTCCCTGCGGCTATTCGACAACAGCAGCTTTTGTTCAATAGCAGGTGGGCACAGACTTTACTGGCATTTGGTGTGTTGTGATACCAGGCAGGTGCCAGCAGTGAGTCTCCTTCTTGCTTGTGAATTGGAAGGTCACGGAGATGCATGAAAAGACCCTTCGGCCCATCAAGTCTGTGCTAATCAAAAATAACCACCAAATTATTCTAATCCCATTTGCCAGCATTTGGCCCAGTGTACCTTGGCATCACAAATGTACATCTAAGTGTGTCTTCAATCTGGTTGAGGATTTCTGCCTCTCCCACTCTTACAGGCAGTAAATTCCAGATTCCCACCACCCTCTGGGTGAAAAACCTTGCCTCACATCCCCCTCTAAACTTCCTGCCCCTTACCTTAAATCTTCAGACGCATTAGAGACACGTGAACAGGCAGGGGATAGAGGGATACAGATCACGTGCAGGCAGATTAGAATAGAATCGTGGCCAACACAGACATGGTGGACCGAAGGGCCTGTTCCTGTGCTGTACTGTCTTATGTTCTCTGCCCCCTGGTCACTAACCCACTATCAAGTGGAAAAGTTCCTTCCTGTCTATGTCCCTCATAATGTCATACATCTCAATCATGTCCCCTCTCAATCTCCTCGGCTCTAAGGAAAACAACCCCATTCTGTCCAATCTGTCTCCATCGCTGAAACTCTCCAGCTCAGACAACATCCTGGTAAATCTCCTCTGCACCCCCTCCAGTGCTATCACATTCCTCCCACAATGTGGGTTCCAGAACTGCACACAGTAATTCTACAGTCCCAGCATCGCCTCCCTGCTCCTCAGCTATATACCTTGGCTAATAAAGGAAAGAATCCTGAATGCCTTCTTAACCTGTGTATCCACCTGTCCTGCCACATTCAGGAATTGGTGGGTGTGCACACCAAGGTCCCTCTGATCCTGGGCTCAGCTTCTGGGGTTGAATCCCACTCCGTTCTAGAGTGTGAAACCCAAGCCTGGCACTCCAGTGCGGTGCTGTCAGAATACTGCACTCTCTGAGGTACCATCTTTCAGGTGAGGGGTTCAAGCAAGCACACATACAGTTGGTGAGTTCTGCTGGATGCCAAAGATCCCATAGCACAATCTGAAAGAAAAGTAGGGGGATTCTGGCCAATAATTCCTCAATCAGCGTCACATTTCTGTTCACTGTGTGAAATTGAGTTACTGCATTTCCTACTTTACAACAGTGTCAACACTTCAGAAGTGAGTGGTAAAGCAGGCAGTCCTGAAAAACACAGTTTATTTATTTTAAAAAAGGAGAGATCCGGGTAAAGAGTGAGAGTTTGCAGCTAGTGTTAGAGGTGTGCCTTAATCTCGGTGTCTGAGTAAGGTGGACAGGAAACATCAAACTAGGTTCCGGCTTTGGGAGGGTTGGGGGGGGGTGCGGTTGTGTATGTGTGTCTGTGATTGTATGAGGTGTGTGTTTGGGCTTTGTGTGGGTGCCCGCGTGAATATGTGTGTGTGTGTGTGTGTGTGTGTGTGT